CACGACAGAGGGAGGAAATCGCGCAGCCGTCCTCAGCGTTGTGTGTTGTGTTGGCGCTTCATCTACTCCTAGTTCGAGTTAGATTTAGGAATATTAATTACATTTTTAGTGTGTAGAAAGAAGTTAACCAAGTGTCGTGAGGGAATTTGCGAAGGATCGTTGGAAAATTGTTAGATTTTGAGGCAGTTTTGCCCTTAGTGTTGGCCTGGCCCTAGACTCCACCGCCCGTCCGAATACTTGAGTGGGGGCCATTGGCACCGATTTCGGATTCGGTACTGTATGACCGAAGGGGTGTATCGACGTGCTTTTAAGTGATCTCTGCACAAGCCCAAACGCTGCGACAGAGCTATCAACATCTTGGATCATAATTTGTGGCAGTTTTCGTAGATAAGGTGAAGGGGTACAAGTGTGCGGCGTTCGAATCGGTGTGTGACTTGGACCGGTACGAATTGGGGTCTACTTGCGGCCACGGCTTCGGCTTCTAACTTCGAGACCAGGTGAGTGTCGTTAACTGTGTAGACCTACCGTTATTCTGACGTAAGTAGCTCAGACCGCCATTATGAGGTATGTCATTTTCCATTCTTTCTCATCCAACCTTTATGGCCACTTGACGGCGTGTTAGAAAGGTGCAAACAAAACTAGTTGTTTAGGGGAAAGCCCGAGATTTGCATTCACCCATTCGATTCGTCGCAAATGTAACCGATTGTTAAAACCCGTTACTCTTTATCATTAATGATAGTGAATTTACGAAGAAGGAAGCACGTCTGTGAAGAATAGTAATAAAACCATAAGAAGTAGAAAGAGAGAGAAGTATTTCCGTCGCCGAGAGAAAAAGAAAAAGGTAAGTTGACCACCACCATGAGCAAGTAGCGGCGAGGTCACGTGACTCGATAGTATTTCACCTGCACTAGAACACGCCGGAGGAGACACCACACCGCCTTGTTGATGTGCGGCGTGGACGGGGATGGGCGGCGTGTCCTCTGCAGGGAATTTGTGTTGGGTATTTAGGATTGTGTGCAGGTTTTTTCCAAGCCAGTACTGTCTTGCGGAAAGATTTGACCCGAGTGCTGTCAGTGATTTTGAGGTCTGGCCAAGTGTGTCATTGGTTCATAACAAAGATGTTGTTCATTGTGTCAGAATTATATTATTACACACGCAGGCACCTGTGCGTACACACACACACACACACACACACACACACACACACACACACACACACACACACACACACACACACACACACACACACACACACACACACACACTCACACTCACACACTATCACAGGTGTGTGTGTAAATGTATGTATGTATATGTATAGACATATATATATATATATATATATATATATATATATATATATATATATATATTATATACATAGATATACATATATATCTGTGTATGTATATATATAATTATGTATGTATGTATGTATGTATGTATGTGTGTGTGTGTGTATGTGTGTGTGTGCATGTGTGTGTGGGTGTGTGTGTGTGTATGTATGTATGTATAGATAATGCATATATATGCGTGTATGTATTTATAAACCACTGTAAGTAGTTCGAAGGTTTTGCTTGTAAGTAATCTGAAGGAATATGCAGGGACAAAGTATCCAGGTCATGCGCATACGCATGCGCGGACGCAACCCCCGCAGTCGTGGGCCACAAAGAAATAAATGAATATGAAGATAGAAGGAATGACGTAGACGAATAGAAATGAATAGAGAAGTTAAGAGATTGTAAATGCAGAGAGAAAAAAATTATACAGCGTAGAATAGCATATTGGATGTGCCGAAAAAGATTGTTAGAGGTTAGGTTAAGTGCGTTCAAGAGGCAAAAAGGAGAGCGAGGGTTGTGAGGCAGACAGACATCAAGGCATAGACAGAGAAATGGTCTTTTTCCAATCGGCCAGAATCATCCATGCATCCGGAACATCAACGCGCTTGGACACCGCCAGTGTTTGCAGGGGAGTTTTACATATGGTTTTTAATGCGGTCATTTTTAGACGAAATTGTCGATTTTATTTTCGTCCGCAAGTTGACAGCTGAAAGAAAACGGAAACAGGGGTTCAGATAAAAGAGAGATGAAAATGGAGAGTAAGAGAGAGAGAGAGAGAGAGAGAGAGACTGCAGAGACAGAAGAGACCAGAGAATGATGTCCGGATGGCCAAGAAAAATGATACACGTACGGGGGCATATGATGTGACGAATGAATGGAGGGAGGAACAGGCCAAGGGTGGGTATCCGCGGAAGGCTCGAAGACCTCGGTTGCGTGGGAAGCTAAGTGTTTATTTATGGACCTCTTTATGCGAGAATCGGAGGAACGAGAGGGAGCGGATACGTTGAGGGGAAACTTCATTATATAGCATTACCATCAGCATCATCACGTTCTTGGTATCATTATCGCTTGGGAGATCATGGCGGTATTGACCACACCGTCCGTTTGCTGGTATCTGGTATCGACGCCTCCTCCCGCTCCCCCTCCCCCTCCCTCCCCACGCGCTGAACACCTGACCTCCTTGCCACAGCTCTAAGAAAGTAGTAAATGAAGGGTGGAATGCGAAAGACAAATTATTTACCGACGCTGTTAGGGCGCCTGTATTTTATGACTGTTTCCCGGTGCGGACAGTTTAATAACATTTGTTCGTTTTGTATTTTGTACGCTCCGGGGCTATCTGTTGAGCTTGCTAGATACGTGTTTATAAGCACTGAGAGCAGTAATTGCAGTGCTGATATTTGTGATGTCGGACTGATTGTGTGACTTTTTAAGATTAATTTTATTGTTCTTGTTGCTGTTATTTTGTTGTTACGTTTGTCATATGATGGTAATAATAATAATGATGATGATAATGTTGAGGATGATGATAATAATAATAATGATGAGGATGACGGTAATAATCATTAAAGTTGTTATTGTTATTATTAGTTTCATTGATGATAACCTGTGATGTGCGCCGAAGTATAATTGTAGTGCAATTGAAAGGCGACGGCACAGTTAATTCAACTTCACCGTACTCCATACAACAGAAGTGACAGGCATCGTGGGAATGAACGGCAAGCCATGTAGACAAAGAAGGCAAGAAAGGAACCAAGGAAATCGCAGGTTGTTCCGAAGGGGCAGCGCGGGGCCTCACAGCTGTAGATGACGTCAATGTTGCGCATACAAGGTGGCACAGGGCGTACCCACACGGCTCGGTGGAGGGCGGGTTGTTGGCACTGGCACTGAGATCGGGAACATAAACGGAGATACAATGAGTAAACGCCACTGAAGGCGATACAAGTAGCACCGCTTAGCGTCGATGCCCGTAGGCCTACATGGGACAAAATGGGCGCGTGTTATGTTGTAGGGATGGTGTAGGTAAGGATATGTAGCGAGATGTTTATGTTTGCAAGGATCGCGGCGTTGCGCTCCGTGTCCGCTGCCTTGTATTATATTGGAGAGTTGCCTAATGTTTTTTGAGGTGAGTTCAGCGGACCGGAAAGTAGACAGGGGATCATTGGGTTACCGGGACGTGAGTGGAAAGGTTGATTCACCGAACGATGGATAGTGGAAACGTGTATGTGCGGATTGGACGAAGACGCGGATTTTCACATGATGTTCGTCCCTTTTTCAAATATCATCGACCTTCTCCTCTTTTCCTCGGATGGGAGTTGCCGTAATCCGTTGATAAGGATATAACGAATGATTATACTGATGAGACCTGACGGGCCGTTAAAAAAAGGAAATCGTGAGGATCCGAGGCCGCGGTGGCGACGCTTCGCTGGCTATCATTCGCTCGTCATGAATCAAGGTGACGAATACTACAGGGACGGTGAAGGGTGATCGAGGGAGAGAGAAAAGGGTGAATTGCGCGCGCACCTGTTGTAACGATCATGGCTCCATGAAGGGCCCGTGCATGGATGGATCTCTCCATGAGGGAATTCGAGGTTCCCCGATTGGTCCAGTAATTATGGGTTCCCTTTTTTTAACTCGGGATATAATGGTTCTCGAAATATCGACTTCCTCGCCTTAGTACTCCGGGTCCGACGCGGTTGTTGTCGTTCGTTTTAAGGCGACTCGTTACGTTCTCCGCCGTTCACTCAGCAGGAACCCGTCGATGTATTTCTTCGGGAGAATCTTTTGCGGTCCAGATGACAGTTCTTATTTCATTCTTCGTGTTTATTCTCCCTTCGGCGTTCTTCTTTTTTCTTGATTTATTCTCGGGTATTGGTTGTAAGGGGGGGTCCCTCTCCCCTCCGAGGCACAAGTACAATCTAAAAGGAAATTAGATGTCACTAGTATTGTTACAGATGGCGCTGCTGGATGTATAGTGGGTGCTTCTGAGTGGGGTGCGCGGGGTGGCCATTTTGATTTGCTTTTATTTTTATTATCATTGCTATTATTTAAAGTCTTTTCCTGCGGACTTTAAGGGGCGATCCGAGTAAAGAAATTTGGGTAATGTTGAATCGCTGCTTCATTTTACCTCCTTTATTTTACCTTTTATTTTGTTTAATATCTATCTATCTTTCTATATCTTTAGCTTACTTCGCCACCATCTGCCTAGCAATAAATCTACCAATCTAAATATACAAACAAAATGCTTGTAATTTATGATGTGTATTCTAGGTAAGGCAATGTATTTCTTGTAGATTGAATTATAAATTAGTAGCTGATGGCAACGATAATGGTCATAAGAATATAATGGTATGTTAACCGTGGCGATAGTAATGTTAATGATGCTGCTGGCAATAATGATGATGATCGTAATGATGATAACAATAATTATAATGATAGCAACGATAATAATGATGAAATTTATTATGATATCTATGATCACATGTATGGTGATGATGATATAATTGTTTAATGGTAATAATAATGATTGTGATGATGTTAATAATAATAATATTAATGATAATTATAATGATAATAATAATAATATAATGATAATAATAATAATAATAATAATAATAATAATAATAATAATGATAATAATAATAATAATAATAATAATAATAATAATAATAATAATAATGAAAAAGCTGATGAGGATAATATACTAAAAATGATGATAATGGTCATAAGACAATATTAATGATTATACAATTATGGGATAATGATAACAATGATAATAACGATGATAAAGCACATATGCCGAGAAGTCCTTCGTTGACGACGGATCACGCGAAGGACAAATCAAAGAGAACGGCGACCCAAATTTGATCGAACTCGACGACGTCCATATTCTCCTTCTCTCCCTCTCTTCCTTCTTTCTTTTCTCCCTTCCTTCCCTCCTTTCTTTCGCCCTCCCTTCTTTCCTTCCTTTCTCCGTTTCTCCCTCCTTTTTTTTTCCTTCTTTCTTTTCACCTCCTTCCCTTTTGTCCTCCCTCCTTTCTTTCTCCTCCTTCTTTCTTTACTCCATCCCTTCTTCCTTTCTTCGTTTCTCCCTTCTTCCTCCTTTCTTTTCTCCCTCCTTTCCTCCTTCCTTCGCTTCTCCCTTTTCTCCTTCCTTTCTC